AGAAAAAAGTACTGTAAAGAGAACAGAGTAAGCAGAGAGAAATAAATTTCAAATGAAAACTTCAGTGAAATTCATAAAATAACATGATGCTGTGAAAAAAATCAGAGATCAAAAGAACTACTGTAAATAAAAGAATATGAGAGCAGAAATGAGAATCTTACACACTTTTTTTAATCAAGTAAATTTCCCAGAAATTTTAAAAATAGTAGAAAGAAAATAAGTTCAGGAGATCAGTATCTAATTGTACTTGCAGAACAAAAAACACAGAGGCAAGGAAACTACACAAAAAGTTATCAGAAACTTTCTCAGAGCTGAAGTATACAAGTTACCAAAATGAAAGAGCCCATGGAATGTACAAAATGGATGCCTACAGACTTATAATAAGTCATTTCATATCACTGTGACACTTCAGAATACTGGGTATGACACAGATAACACTCTGTAAGCTTCTAACAGACAGACTACAGAAGCTTTCCTGGAGAAAGAAAAGTGAAATGTAAAGTGCTGAAAATTAAAACAGTTTCATTTTACATCATATACTAAGAATGCCTTCAAATTCCCAAACTATGATCAGGGTAAAGTGCAGTCATTTACAGAAACGTGATGTCTCAAAACATCTGCCTTTCAGATAGCTACTGGAATCTGTGACCAAACAAAATGAAGGAGTGTACAAGACCAAGAATTACATGGAATACAAAAAACAGAGGATGAGTCATAGGATAGAACTTGCATGAAAGCAAACTTTATTAAGGAACTGGTCTAACCTGAAGAGCAGAATGTTCTAAGAGAATTTCCTGAACAGGGTTAAACTAATAAAAATAATAGATACTTCTGAACCAATGGAGAAGATATGCTGACAACTAGCAGGCGGCTTGGAAATTAATGAGTTAATGAACAATACTGAGAAACTATACACTGATGCTTACCTACCAAAAACTAAAGTATCAGTGTAATGATGGGAGAGTGGCTGGGGTAGTTGTGGAGTAAAAGCTAAATCTACATCATCCATAGTGAGAAGTCAATAGATAATGTCTAAAATGGAAAAAAAAATCAAGAGGTAGCAATATGTTATTTAGAAGTATGGAAGTAAATAACAAAAGAATCTGCCCCACAAATTTTTAAGCATTTCCCCCTAGAGAGGGGAAACAGCTACCTTGTCCAACATTATACCCCCCTTCCTGGGCCTAAGCAACATGAGGGGATAAAGGCCCTCCTGTTTTGGTCCACCATAGCACTAACTTTAATGGGCAGTATTCTTGAGAACCAAACTTGTAATAAGTAAATGTGAGTTGTTTTTAATAATAAGCCACGTAGAAATAGCTGATTCTTCAAGCATGTGTTCTTTTACTTTTGAAACTGTTAGCTTAAAAACAAAAGGAACAAACTTAAGCTGAGATTTTTACGGGAAACATCACAAGTACAGGGAGAATTGGAAGTAAAGAGAACTCATATGACTTGTGTAATAGAAGGAATCCAAAATCTTGAACAAGAACTGATATGGGACTGTTAACATTTCCTTATCATCTTTCCCAGAAAAATATGCCTTCTTGAGAAAGGTATCATTACTCTAGGACATATACACTATTCCTACAATTTCCTAAACATAAAAAACATCACATAAGCACACACACACAAAAACATAAAGCAGCAGAAACAAAATTCCGAAATTATAATTAGCATAGGAAATTCAGAAACTGTAATCATCAGCCACAGACAAAAAATTTAACTATGAATGCTATGCTAATAAAAATCACAAATGCAACTTTTAGCAAGCAGTTAAAAACTGTAAGAATGAATATAGCTGATATATACCTTTGTATTCTGATCCACAGAATTATGAATTCCAGTGGCCCCATAACAAGAAAAAGAATTCCACATGAAAACATCATGAAAAAAAATCACAAAAAATCTAAAAGAAACATGTTTAAAAGCAGATTTGTTTCAAAGTAGCAAGATTTTAGACCGACAGCTGACTTCCAAAGTCAATAATGGAAGGCAATCGACAATGGAATATCTTCCACTGTTGGTGGTAGATAACCACCATTATGGTTGGTTATGGTGAATACCAACCATAATCCTGCAATGTAATACCCCAACACACTCTTCAAGATCAAAGATGAAACAAAGGCACTGTACAGCAAACAAAAAATTAAGACCATTAGCCATTAGCACATCTACATCTAAATAATGTACTAGACAGAAGGAAAAGGATACCCTAAGAAAAGTCGGATCTGTAAGTAGAAATGAAGAATACGGAAAGTATAAATAAACAGGGATATGCAACTCAATAATGACAGCAGAAACCATGCTGTCCAAATGGTAATACAATACCACCTATATGTGTAATTTATAATTTTCTAGTGGCCACATTAAAAAAACAAGGTGAAATTAATTTTTGGATTTCAACATGTAATCATAAAAAGGTGAATTTATATATTTTTCTTAGTTTTAAAAATCTGGTGATTGACATTTACTGAACATGACAATTCAGATGGTAAATTGTCATCATTAATATTTGATCTATATTTTTATAAAGTTTACAGTTAAAAATATATATTTACATATCTAAGTAGTTGTAAACATAGTTAAGGGTTTTCCAACAACTGAATCAAATATCAATATTGATATTTAAATTAACACAACATAAAACCAAAAATTTAGTTCCTTGAACATTATCTACATTTTAAGTGTTCGACAGACACATGCAATCATGGCTACTGTATTAGCACAAGTATAGAAACTTTTTCCTGGAGATAAAATTACTAATAAAATTCAAATATCGACAATAATAGCATACATATAAGGTGGTAAGAATGAAATGGAGATAAAGTTAACCAGGAAGTGAGAAATGCTCCAAGTACACCAGAGGTATTTGTCACACTGCTCAAACCTGACAGAAAGACTATGCAGAAGACTTTAAAAAGACCATTCAAAGAAAAGGCAATCCAAATAACCAAGAAATTTAAAAAACTTTAGCCTTATTAATAACCACAAAACTGGAAGTTAAAACAATAACATATAGCTCCATTCATCAGTTTGGTAAACAAAAAATACTAACTGTAGGTGAGATTATAGAAAAAAGATCTATCGTACACTGCTAATAGCAGTATAAATTCATATATCACTTAGGAAAAGTTGGGCATAATCTATTCTACAAAATTGCATGCTACATGAATAAATACACATGTTTACAAACACCCAGTAGCATTATCAATAACTGCTAAAAACTGGACAAAATCCAAATGTCCATTAATATTAGACTAGTTAATTGGGGCCTAGTCATGAAACACCATACCACACTTTGTATAGTATTTCACTATACAAAAAAATCTTTTCAATTGTTATCTAAGGCAGTTTATTTGCTTTACTACATATTTTTGTTATAAAGTAATAAACATTTGGTTTCACTACACGCAAAATTTTAAGGTACGAGACTCTAGTTTTTACTTCATTTCACAGGAGTACCCCACACGCAGAGACTAAAAAACGCTAGGCAATGAGTATAAATAGGGTCCACTGCTAAAACAAAACGAAGACAAAAGGTAGTACCTTTAATTGATTACCAACGCAGGTAAATAAGACAAACTGTAGATTCTTGGTCTTAATAGATATCACACAAGGATGACAATCTTTCACAGAACCTTTGCAAAAGACGATGGCTGAAATAGTGAAATGATTTTAAAGTGCGTAAACAAAATGTGAAAAAAGTGCTATTTTACTAAAAAAAAACCCGTTACTAGTGCAAATTCATGAATCGTTTCTTAAATATTTTGAATTAATTCTGATCTTATGAGAGAAACATATTTCCAGCAAAAACAGGAGCATTTGAGAAACCAAAGGCTCTAAATTAGAGGCTAGTAACCAAAAAGTCTTAAAACAAAATACCCATTTGAAGATCTCTCACCTGTATACAGAAAGGGAAAACTTTGATATGTCCCTTTTTTATCAGCGGTAACGCAATTATCAAGGACTAAAGAAACCCCCACCACCTTCTGACAACAGGCTTAGGCGTTGTTGCAGCAACACCAAGACAAGGAGGGAAATTCCATCAAGACTTCCCGGCGTGCTCCATCCTCAAACTCAGTTCAGAATTTCGGGGAGGGTCAATTTCCAATATGAGCATTGCATCTATTCCTAGAAGTTACCAAAATTCACACAGGGAGCTTGGGTCTCCCTGGATAGGTCCCCTGCTGTGAGCTGAAGCAGTCACCAGTCATCTGCAGAGCGTCCAGATCTCGTTTCTCTTTACACCGGGACCTCACCACAAACGGAGGTAGTCGCCACTACAAATCTAGTATCAATAGGTCTCCCTGAGCTCGTCCGGGATTCATCTGAGGGCTGGCTCGGAGGCCAGGAGACAGAAGGATCCCGCCTATCTTCTGGCCTGCCGGCCTAGACAAGCCTGTCCCCCCACCCCTTCCCGCGTTACCAGTCTCCAAAGCCTTGCAATCTCCACCTTTTATTTCGCCTTTCGCCACCGGTGCCCCCTAGTAATTGTCCTGACTCCAGCCGAACCCATGTTACCTCTCACAGAAAAGCCTGCCCTTACGAGGGCGGTGCGCGGATCTAGGGACCAAGAGAAGACTCCACAGGATCGCTTCGCGTGTATGCCGACTAGCTTCCCCAGGTGCTGCCAATGGCACACCACTACTCCCGTCATGCCCCTCGAGCGCTGAACCACTCTCTCACCCGCCTATCCCCCGCCCTAACACGTGACCTTCTTTTGCCTCCGTCCACGCCCACTTCCGTTCCTCCACTTTCTCTTACTAGGGAGGAGGGGGGGGATGGAGGGTGTAAAGAGTAGCGACTTCCTCCTACTCCTCGCCCCCGCCTCTCTACCCCCTGCTACAATGTCTTCCGGGTCGCGAGAGCCTCGAAGCCTTCTGGGAAATCATCTCATTTTCTCCCCTCCCCCTTCTCCTGCTTTCAACCAACCAGCCTCCCGTCAGAGAGAGGCATGCGCAGTGAGTACCTCCCTTCTCTTCTACCCGAACCCCCCCTCCCCCCCCAAGCAGAGAGACCCCAGCAGCAGCAGCAGCTGATGATGAAGAGAGAGGCAGTGGCAGAGGGGGGGCACCTTTTATTTCTATTTTTAAAGGGACAGGACACTAATTTTACCCCACTTCAACCTTGAATTCAGGGGGGTGGGGGGAAGGCGGCTGAGTTCCTTCCCCCACCCTCCAGCCCCGAGACCTGAGAGGGGGATTGAGACTGAGAGAGGAGAAGGAGTTTCTTCTTCTTCGAAAACCCTCGTCCACGACTCCTACCCCTTCACCCCTCCAGTAGCCTCCCTCCCGAGCCCCCTCCACCCTCCTCCTCTTTGGCCGTGAGAGGAGAGAAAGAGACCTAAAGCCTCTTAGCAACACAGACCCTTCTTTGCTGCTGCTGCTGCTGTTGCTGCTGCTGCTACTGCTACTGCTGCTTGGCCCTGGCTGGAGACATCTCACTACACCCAGGAGCAGCCACTTCCCCACTCTCCTCCTCCTTCCCTCCTCCTCCACTCCCCCCCTTTATTACCCTTTGTGTCATCCTCCACAGCTCCAGGGAAGGCACTCCAAAGTGGGGGGCAGGAAAGGTAAGTGTGTCCGTGGGGGCTTTATTGCCTTCCTCTGGCTCTGACTTTAACTCCGGGGCAACAGCAGCACCAAACCATATACGCAGTGTAGCTCCGGGGTGAGGAGGGGGTGGTACTGGAGGGGGGGCGGGTGAAGGAGGGGTTGCAGTGGGGAGGGGTGTATGAGGTGTGTGCCCATCCTGTCAGAGGTGGAAGGGCACTTTTGTTTTTATTTGCTGTTGTCAAAAGTGGTTTCTCTTCTTCAGCTAACATCTGATTGTGTCTTGCTCCAGTGGGAGAGAATACAAAAACAACCCCCTCCTTCCTCCAATAAGGCGCCAGGGAAAGAGACAGAAAGAGGCACACTTTCTAGATGTCACTTAAAAAATTTCAATTGGAGAGCTATTTATCTATTTCCCCAAGAAAAGCTCCACTGCATTTGTTTTTGAGTGGGAAAATGTCGGGTTTAGGATTGTATTGGAACTGCTTATCCATTTGTAGACCTGAGTGTTTTCCCCTTTTTGGTTCTCTATGTGATTTGGGTATGGACTTAAGTGTTGGAACAGACTTGCTTGGTTTTTGCTTTCTGGGTTAAATTTTTCTTTTTTCGTTTTGTCTGACCTGCATAGAAATTTTCAAATTTTTAGTTGATAGGGGCCTTAGGTTAGGTTAGGTTTTCACTTGTATTATTGCTTTTTTTGTTAAATGTTTGATTGCTATATCACCATATAAAGTTCAAAGCTTATAATGCTTAAAGTTTAAATGCCACTGGTATTGTCTCTACCCACATACGTTCCTAATATTTTCCATAAGATAAGAATGTTAGCTATTTCATAATTAATCTGAGTATTTTTCTAATCTTTGTGAGTTGCCTGAACAAGTAATCCCCATTGAAAACTTTATGTTGTTCTGGCTTCATGGAAGGCCAAACCTCTCCATCAATAGTTTGCTGGATTGGTACCACTTTCAGTTTTAACTGAATTATTTATTTACTGTTGTAAATTGAGAGGAGTTTTTCATCTCATGGGCTACTGAATTAAATTGCTTATTATATGTGAAGGGGGCATATTTCTAAAATGTGTTTTCCTGACTCAAAAAATAATGAAGTAGTTGGTATATTCATGGTAGTTACATATAAATTGAAAGATGAATCCATATTTAGGCTTCTAGAGTAACAATCTTGATAAAAATCACTATTCTCTCTTTTTACATGACATGTTCTTAGTGAAATGGCTTTCAAATTCAGTGCAGCATTTTATTTCACAAAACCTAGAAAGTATATTTCTGATGTAGGCCTTTTATTAGGTTTTACACGAGAGACTGGTATTTTATTTCGTACATACATTTCTTTATGCTTTCCTTGGAGATGGATGCAACACATATACACACATTCTCTCTCTCTTTTTCTGTGTGTGTATCTCTCACACCCTTTTTTGTTACTGCATTGGTATCTCTGATCCCATAATTTATGTCATCAAAAAATATTTTTCTGTAAAGCAGCAATTTTGTGATCAGACTGGCAATATGAAAACAGCAATTTGAAAGGATTGAAGAAAAATCTAGAAGGATGTTTGACATAAATATGATAAAGATATGATAATACTTTTAATTTTTATTATCTTGATAATAAAGCCAAAACGTTATACACTTATATTTTAGTGGCAAAAAGCATTGCATATGTAGAAATTTGTCCTGTAAAATTTTAATTATCAACTCTGCAAAAGCAGACATTTGCACACAGGGAAAAAAAGCTGTGTAGCAGTAAACAATATGGTCTTATTTCTCTCCTTTCTGTTATAAATTTGAACGGTTCCTTGCATTTCTCTGAGGTATAAATGGTGCACTTAAGCAGAAATCTGTGCCAAGTTCAGGTTTTTCTTCCGATATCAATACTATTTCAGGTCTACCTACATTTTCTTCTTCCCTTAATTCCTCAGCAACCTTAAGAGATAGAAAGTAGAACTTAGTGAAGAAATGAGTTTTAAGGAAAGCAAATTGTGTGAATAATTGGGGTGGTGGTTGCCCAAATGAGTGAAAATGTACACTCTTGAGCATAATACCTTTACTTTGTTTCTGTTTTCCTTTGAAAACATTTCTTATCCTACCACTCTCAGGGTTCCCCTATGTGGTTTGAAGATTCCAGACTTCCTGTAGGTCGAGTCATTATTTACATTTAGAAAACCTTTCACTTTTATTATGCCTTATTTTTTAAGTATACAGATATATTTTAGGGTTGAAATTTTCAGCAAGGTGATATCTTGGAGGTCACTTTATCCAACTCTTCATTTTCCATATTGCTAAAGTTAAAGAGCTTAAGGAACTTGCCCAGGTTCCAAGGCCTAAATGTACATGGAACATGGACCAGAGAACTCAGGTCTCTTGATATTCTGTATCACTTTCCTTCATCAGAAATGAAGCTATCATCACAATTCTGTGTATGGCACTTAAGGGTTTTTTATGGAGGCACATTCTTCTAAGAATATTAAGGTAAATAGCTTCAAAGCCATAATTTTGTTAATTTATAATAGAATAATTTGTTGTTAGTTTCTTTTAAAGAGGTGGATTATTACTATTTGGGGAATTATTTCAGCTTCCCCTAATGCTTATATTTCCCCTTGCATCTCCAATTAATCAGTAAATATTACTCTTACTCTTGTGTTATGGACCCATATATGTAAGGAAAATGCATATTGTATTATAAATGTTTACTTGTGAATCTTGCTTTATGAATTACTTTGGACCACAGTGGGTTTTTTTAGATTTTATTTATTTATATTTAGAGAGAGGGGAAGGGAAGGAGAAAGAGGAAGAGAAACATCAATGTGTGGTCACCTCTCACACAGCCCGGAGTAGGGACCTGGCCCACAACACAGGCATGAGCCCCGACCTGGAATTGAACCAGCGACCTTTTGGTTTGCAGGCCAACTCTCAGTCCACTGAGCCACACCAAGAAGGGCACGGACAAAAGAATTTTGTTTTGTTAGCATTTATATTCCTTACAACACAGTGTCTGGTACACAGTAGGCATTACTGGTTATTTGTTATAATTTATATTAGAATTAGGCATATTTGAATTGGCATATTTGAATTTCTTTATTCCCATTTGTAGAATTCCTTCCCTTTCCTCATTTTTCCTTTCCTCTTTGCTATAATTTCTTCAGTGCCATGAATTTTATTTTTTAATTTTACTGTGGCTTTCACTTTTTCTAATGGCCAAATTAAATCCTGTGAACAATATAGTACTCAAAATAAGTAAAAATATAATCCTCCTAACTCTGGTACAGGATGCAATTTGACAAGAGTGACTTATTTTAAATTAGAGGATCAAAAAAATTCCAATTAAAAATATACTAGCAAATGTTCAGGATACACTTAAATTTCATTTCACTGAGTGACAGGTGCAGTAGGTTGTGAGAATGACTAGGCAGCTTTTACCAGCTCTATAAGGCAACTGTTACTTAGGTGACATGTTTCCCTGACTTTGTTTTTTTGGTCCTTACCCAGACAATTATCAACTTTCCAGTTTTCTATGGATATGAAGATTTACTCCTAGTCATCAGTGGGACCCAATGAAGTCAGCCAGAAAGCCTATGTCCAACTTATGTATCTTTGCAAACTTGTCTGGATTTTGAATGTATAGATGCAAAACAGATTGTACTTAGATATTAATCATTAAGCATTGCTTGAATATCTACTGTCTCTCAGGCACTGTACTAGGCACCTGACAAATAAGGTCGGTTCCTAAAATTAATGTGAAGAGATAGCGTAATTGTGTTCCAGAAGTATATTCATGATATCCTTATTTTGATGTTTCTACTTAAATGAATTTTATATAACTAAACAGATACTGTTAGGTAGAAAAATGCATGTTTAAAAAGGATATTGCTGTATTTTATTAAAACAGAAAAATATAAAGTAAAAATTTCCACTTAAATACTGTACTCTGGGGATTTCTGTCTGTATTTAATTCATTAATTTAGACCATGAAAATAGTCTATGTGACTGTCACTGCTATAGTATTTTATTGTTATATACTTTTATTCAAAGATGTCCCGAATTATTCATTTAAGTATCTCTTATTAAATTATTACACCCCCCCCAAAAAAAACCCATACTTTCCCAACTTAAACTTTTTTTTCTTAAAAGTAGCTTTTTCCTTTTCATATCTCATATAACAGGTAATTTTTCATGATTCATTGGACGACATTGTACATTATCATTTTGAGCACTTAGTTATTTTCTATCATATTTATCATAGTTCAAGCTGACAGAATGATTTAATTATCATGGAGTAATTATAGTATGCACCATTTAGAAGTTTTGGAACTTATAATGGACACTAGATATACTCCTCCAAGGTCTTCATAAGAAATTTCCCAGTTCTAATTCTAAGTTAGTTGCAATTTTTAATCTTTATTTTGTGATACTGTGTCTGTAACTTTAGTAAAATGAGTTGGAAGTTTCTTAGTTGACGGTTGTTTCAAAAACAAAGAATACTGCCTTGTTTCCTGTCATGGCTTCCCTATGTAATTTTAAAGTATTAGAGAGAAAGAGATTTCCTGGATTTTTTTTTTTTGCCCTCTTAAGTGTGCCTTTTAGAATAATACCTATTCACAACTTAAAAGGAGGAGATCCCTTGCTTGTACCGTATTTTGTGAAGGTAAATAGACTTTTGAAAATCAATTCTTATCTCTTTCATATTGGTTTTAATTTTCTATTTTAGTAATAATCATAGTTATCATTTATTATTAGTGCCTAGCACTGTGATAAATTTGTCAGTCCCAGTCATTAAAGTGCCTTGGTAAACTTGGTAATGTTGTCCTTATGTTACAAATGAGGAAACCTACTACTGACAGAACAGCATTCAGCATTTTATTATATAGCAGCAAACTACTCCCTGATACTTTTTAAATTTTTTTAAAATTTTTTAAAATTTTATTTTTAGACAGAGGGGAAGGGAGGAAGAAAGAGAAGGAGAGAAACATCAATGTGTGGTTGCCTCTCACACACCTCCCACTGAGCACACACCCTGACTGGGAATCCAACAGGCCACCCTTTGGTTCTCAGGCCAGCACTCAATCCACAGAGCCACACCAGGCAGGCTCCCTGGCACTTGCTGAATCAAAACAGAGTCACAATAAAGAGTTACTGTCAGTCCGTAAGTACCCTAAAAAACATTAGTAAAGTCATGGCCCCAGTAACTTATTGATTAAGGAATGGAAAATTTCAAAAAGTTTTCAAGGACAAAAAAACCCTAATTCTTTGTAAGGAACATAGATGCAGACCAGTGTGCAACTTGAAATAAAATATGCATAAAGTCAGCTTTCTCTTTGTATGGCAAAATGATACTTAGGCCTTTTACATATTAAACTTCCTTTACCTTGCATGGAGTTACATTTAGCATTTTGCTATATGAAATCTGGAGGTTCCAACAATTTGTGATCCAATGAACAGTTACTGTAAAAATTTTTATATACCTCTGTTGATAGGTGGAAAACCTATAAACAAAGGGGAGTTTATATTGCCTAGTGCTTTGGTGTGTATAAACATTCCTTCTGAATGCTCTTTCTTGCAATATTTTTATAATAGGATTAAGTTTAATGTTCTTTTTTCTTTAGTACCACTTAAAGTCTGAAATATTTTTAGTATTAGAATGTACAACTTGTTGGATTCTTAAGATGCCATTATTGTTATATGGTTCTTTAAAGCAGCTACTGAATACTCTTTTTGACCCAGCTAACAAGAATTGCTTTTTCCATCCTTTTAGGAGGAAATAATAATTTTTAAAAATTCTATTTTGTTAGTCAAGTAACTTTCATATTCATCCTAAGTAAAAACACAACCATCCTATATGCTTACAATGACTCTGTTATCCTATAAGTATGATACCAAGGCGTTAAGACTGATAGAGTTTGGAAATATTTTTGAACAGTAAAGAACTTTTGTGTGTCATCTACTAGACTTCATAAAAGAATATTTATAACAAATGTGATTTCTTGCTTTTAAAAATAATCTGAATAGTTGATGAGATATAATTAGTTTATCATCCCAAATAATTTCCTTAGATAATCTGAAGATAATTCAATTAAAAGTAAAGATTGGAACTCATCAGCATTTTCTTTTCGAGGTATTTCTATATTATGTAAGATTTCAGAAATTAGAATGACTGAGTATAGCTCTTTAAAGAAACAAAACGAGAACCAGGCTTAACATGTATTAAGGTTTATCTTCTAATGTAGCTGGACATGATTAAAACGAAAATAACTAATGATATCATACCTGGTGAAAAGCATACATTTCATTCAAGTGTTAGTTGTGACTAACTCTGATTTGAGTCCTCATTTTATCTGACCTACATAACCTTTTCTTAGAGAACTTGTAATTATATTGTGTCATTGAGTAATTTGTTAGGATGTATTGTTTTAAAGGACTAAAATGAGTTATATAAATTAGTTATCATCTGTGCAATGGAGAAAAGTCTTTGTTAATCCATGTTTCACTGAGTTCTTTGCCTACCAACCAAGATTCCATCAATGAAAGGAAACATTTCTGTATAGTGTTAGTGTTATAGCTTACATTCTTGTGCTGCCTTTTCTTTTTTTCTAATTTAATGTCCATATCTCAGAAGTTAAAAGTTTGCCTGAGTTGTTTGTTAAGGTTGACCAAGTATAAAATTAAATTTAGATTTAATTTTGTATTCAAAGCTATTATTTTCTGTATACAACTTAAATCCAGAAGTTGACTTAATCTGTTGACCATTAATTAACTTAATCCATACACTTTTAACATTATTAGTACCTAAAAATATACATACACTCACTGATGCTGGGGGAGAGAAGTATTTTTCATTCAACAAAAGTATTGATTTTTAAGTAGCTTCCTTGGGCTTTACTAATCTGAATAGTAGCTGCCATGTAAAATAAAAAGAATTTTTATTTAGTTGGAAAGTCAAATGTAAAGTTGATCATTAATTAATACTAAGCAATATCAAAATATTTAGAAAGTTCAATACATGTTCCAGCAATGACAGAATTTTAGAACCTATTTTTTACCATTATTCCAAAATCATTTCCCGTTTCCCACATTCTTCACACAGGAGTTTGTGCTGAAGGATTTCTTGGCCATTTTAGAAACTGTAATCTAGTTAAAAGGTTTGTTTATGCTTCCCATCTCTGTTCTGCTGATGGTATTAGAATGCAGGCCAGCGCCAGACATCTAACTGTTTATAACATTCAAACTTCAATTAAAGCTACAGTGTTCACTATATCTCAGAAAGTTCATACTAGCTGCAGATATCGCCAGTAATGATTTTGAGCAGCCATAGGCTTTCATATCATGCCACTCTTTATGAATACTTTTTTCCCCATCTAGGAAGTATTGACATTTAATTGTTTCATGGAAGTCTAAAAATTAAGCTTATCTTCTACTACAAATAGTATAGCATTTCCTTTAACAGTTTCATTTGATAATAAAAACCTAACAGTTTATATTACTGCATATCTTATTTAAATGGTCCCACATTAGTTTTTGTAAGATTAGTAATTTTTGTAGTAGGTGTTAGTTTGTTATCCAATTAATGGGACTTCTTTTTCTAGTTTGAAGAACAAAGCGATACGTCACATATTAGAAAACAAAACTGTGATATTACTCCAGTGTTCCTCTATGTATGAGAGGGAACTAGATCCATATAATTTAATCTTCTTTTATTTTTAGAGAGGGGAAGGGAGGGAGGGAGAGAGAGAGAAACAAACATCAGTGTATGGTTGCCTCTCACACACCCGCTACTGGAGGACTGGCCTGCAACTCAGGCATGTGCCTGGACTTGGAATTGAACCGTTGATCCTTTGGTTCTCAGTCTGGTGCTCAGTACCCTGAGCCACACCAGCCAGGGCCATATTTTAATTTTATGTTGCTTTTCTAGTCTGCTGCTCCTGCTGTTTGTGGTTTCTATATTGCAAATGTTTCTGTGAAGTTTTAAAAGCTTTTTTCTTTTAAAACTGTTTAAAATTCTTTAAAAATATTTCTTCATCAGCTCTGTTTTTTTGCAGGTTACCTCATTGAGTCATAATATGAATAGTTTGAATTTTGTAATTAGTAGGCAAATTTGCTATATTATATTGCTTTTTCTTTTTATAAAAATAAATTTAGTTTTTCTTAATTTTATACTTTGATTTATTAACTGTATGCATTCTTTATAAACATTTTTTATTGAAATACGAATTTATAGGAGGTTTAAGCATTTTAGGAAAGATCAACGATCAGTTAATTGAATATTTGCTAAAACCCTTTTAATTTTAATTAAGAAATATTACAGTGGAAATATACTAATTTTCTTGGGCACTTAAATTATTTGTTTACTTTGAAATCATGTAAGACAGAAAATTAGGCATACTACCTATAGTATCTGAAGATAGAAATTGCCAAAAACCGTGCAACATTTAGATTTGTAGGCTAAAAACATGGAAAGACCTCTAAAACAAGCTAAGTTGAAAAGAAAATAATATGCATAGTATGGTTTCATTTTTGTAAAAACAAATACTCATATAGATAACATGCACGTAATATATTTATATTGTATATAACATTTTATGCTGTATACATATTTATAAAATAAAAAATGTATAAAATGTATACCTCACACATGCCTGGGTTGTGGGCCAGGTCCCCAGTAGGAGATGCATAAGAGGCAACCACACATTGATGTTTCTTTTCCTTTCTTCCTCCCTTCCCCTGTGTCTTAAGTAAATAAAAAATCTTAAAAAGTATATATACATATTATATTTATGTAAATATAGTAAAAGTTCTGGAAAATATATATCAAATTAATGTCATTGGGTTATAGATAGTATGTATATGGCATGCTTGAAGATCTAAGAACTTTTATTATTTTGTATCCTTTAGTGTTACTTGGATTTATTTTTAACAACAAGTTATATTCATGTGGTAATAGTGTAATGGAAAAATATACTTACATAATAAAAAAAATGAGAAATAGAATGACCCAGGAAAATTGTAGTTCTACCCCTAATTGTTACGTGAATATATCTCTTGAATACCCTGAAGAAAATTGAGTATTTGCTAGTAATCATCATAGCTTGATACAGAATAAAGACTGTTCGACTGATCTAATCTTAACCAATGGGGTGAAAAGCCTACTAGTCAATTGAGGGAGGAACACTGGATATCATGGTTTTTAAATATTTTGCCTCTTATCACAAAATACATTTCTCACTATCCTGGGAAAATGTAGACTAGTGCAATAGTGTTGTAGAATGTCAGTCATGAAGTGGTGGACAATAAGTTGGTTTCAGTGTGAGATAAGATATAATATATGGGCCTAAGCTGGACTTTTACTTTAATCATTGACCAAATTATCATATGCTTACTCAAAATACAGATGGCATAGTCACTTACCATTTTTATAATGTTTTCTATATCCAGGTTATTGGTTTGAATAGAGGACAAAAATAAAACAGGTTTTAAGGTCCTTTTAAAAAAAAGTAACTGGAACATGTACTTGAAAAACACTTTGTAAAATAACATCAAACTGAGTAGGTAAATATGCAGAGTAAAGAAACAATTAGAATTCTGTAGAGTTCATCTCAGTGGGCTTCCTGAGAGGACTTGAATTAATCATAGTTTGGGTTGAGGAGAAAATCCTAGATTGGCACAGATGAGACTAATTCAAGTAAGGCCAAACCTTCCAGTAAAATGATGGGATGAGTATATTTATTTTTACTTGTTTAAAAGCTAGGCATAAAATTCAGCATAATCTGTTATAAAGTGCTTAGAAATAATATACCTAGCCTTTATGTTTTCAAAACTTTATTTTCCAGGAAGCAGGTCAGAAAAGAAATAGGAAGAAAAGAACACTTGCATAAAATAAGAAAGAGAATAATTCTTTGCAATTATGATTGGAAAAATCTGTTGGAGTCTCAAACAAGGATATTCTGAATATAAGATGGAAATATACTTAAAATTGGAAAGTTTTATCTAGAGATACTGAGGTTCTTTTTCCTTTTATAATTCAAGTTCATACCCAGGTTGGTCCCTAGGATTAGTAGTAAATACTACATAATTAAAACTGTAAATCATATATATAAATAAATTCTAAAAATTACAAAAAGATACAGCTTATGTTTTCTTCATTTATGTCTTAATTGCATCTAATTTATTTCCAGCTGGTCTTGTCATGTAAATTATCCAATCTACCTCTACCATCATGAATTGAACATTTTTCTCTGGAAAATAGGAAGTTTATAGAGTTCTATCAAATGGCTTTGTATTTTGTTTTTATCTGAAAAGTCTTAGTGACTTAAAAAAAAAACTATACAGGGGTCACTGACTCAGTGTTCTCTCTCTCTCCCTGCTTCTCTAATTAGTGTTTTGCCAGTGTCTTTTTTTCAACAAATACACGTTGATGCCAGTTGTGTTCTAAATGGAATAGTGAGCAAAAATAGACATAGGTCCTGTTGATCTTCTGAACTTACATCCTACAGCTAAAGAAGGATACTAATCAAATAATCATGTAAATAAATGCAAAGTCGGAACTGTTCCAATTGCTGTAGAGAGGTATATGCTACTCAATATGAGGGGTTTTAGAAGAATTACTGGACCAATCACTGGGATCAAGGGCAGCTCACTCTTTTTTTCCCCTTCCCTTCCCTTCCCTTCCCTTCCATTCCATTCCACTTCCCTTTTCCTCTTCTCTCTTCCCTGATTCTTTTTTTTTTTTGAAGCAATATTTGATTAACAAATCTTTTTTTAAATAGGATTATAGTGAAATGAAATAAGGGAGGTGGTGAGGAACAAATACCTTTTTTTAAAAATTTAATTATTGTTCAAGTACAGTTTTCTGTCTTTTACTCCCAGCCCACTCCCCCAGTGCTCCCCGCCTCCCTCCCATTTCCACCCCCCTTAGTTGTTGTCCATGTGTCCCTTATACTAGTTCCTGTAAATCCTTCCCCTTTTTCCGTGAAATTACTTCCCCTCTCCCCTCTTGTCCCTGTCAGCCTGCTCTCTACTTCAGTGTTCTTAACTAAAATCTTGATGAATTAGAGTTAATTTGATCAAGAGAGAGAAAACAGTATTCTGGAAGGAAGGACCAAGGTAGGAAGGTCATGAGTGGAGAGAGAGCATAGTACTTAACACTAAATTAATGTCAAAGTGGCAGAAATGAAGAACTATACATGGTAAAAGATGATACTGAGTTATGTAGGAGCTAAACTACAGGATGTTTATAGGCCAAGATTGTTTTTATCTTTAGGGTTAATTTTAAACTTAGGCTGATGTTCTTAATGCTCAACACAAATGCTTTCTACTAATAAAAGTTTCAAGAGTTCATTTTTATTTCAATTTAAAATTCGTAAAATTGACTAGGAGTGGTAAACACAACAAATGGTGTAGAATTGTGAACTTGATATCTGTATAATTTTGTTAACCAGTGTCACCCCAATAAATTCAATAAAAAGGAAAAAATAAATAAATAAATCTAGCACAAATAAAATAAAATTTATAAAGTTTTTTCCCATAGAATCGTTATTGTGATCAGATCTCATAAAACCCCTTTAATAGTGATAACAATGGAAAGTGGTGAATTTAATATTCACAAATTGAATGTTCTGAATGTAGGGTATATTATTATCAATGTTATTAGAAAAAATTAATATTATTTTAAGAAAAATAGAATTACAAAATGATAGCAATACAATGCCAATTTGGGGGGTAAATCATACAATCAGAATTAACTATAAATTACCAAGTTACATTAAGTATTATTAGCCTTGAAAATATTGATGGATCTCACAAGACCATTGAAGAAATTTAGTTTTTAATTCAGCATAACATTACCGATAAAATACCGTTATTTCATTGTGATCTTTAAGTCTTAAACCTCTTTGAATCCAGTTTCTGTTCATATTAGGCAGTGAACAGTCTAATTAATAACAAGTTCAAAAAATGCAGCAAATATTAGGAACATTATAAAATGTATTATAAATTAGCCCTGGCTGGTGTAGCTCAGTGGATTGAGCGCGGGCGCGCGACACAAAAACTTTGGGTTGATTCCCAGGCAGGGCAAACAGGGAAGGCTGGTTGGTTCCCTCCAGGCCAACGCCCGCGCGGCCAGAAAGCACAAAAAGTATCCCTTCTTCTCTTCTCTCCCTCTCAAAAAAAAAAAAAAAAAAAAAAAAAAAAAAAAAAAAAAAAAAAATAAATTAAATTTTATTAAGACCAGAATATCACAAAGGTTTGTTAAATTGTAAGGAAGAAGTAAAGTCTATGCACTGACTAGAGAGGATGCATCACACAACGGTTGGTTGCACTCTGTCACTACATCTAAATCACCTGCCGTTGAACTGAACTTTCTGGCATATTTAGGTATTGCAGACCGTGCTTTTCAAGGAGATTGATATCTAAAATTAAAAATGGTGGAATGAGTTTAGTGATTATTTATTCACTTGCTTTTTTATTTATTTATAAAACATTCTAAGTGAGAAAATATCACTAGCATTGATTTATTTTTCATGCAATGTCTTGTAGACCACTGATGATTCATAGGCCATAAGTGTTTTGGAGGCTTATTAGTGTTTGGAAAGACAGTTGACTAAATTTATCTAATGACTCTAAGGGGTCAATGTACCTTCCGAATAGAAAGGAAGATTCACTTGGGAATTGTTCAGGGATTGATGTTTTCCCTCTGTTTTATAGATTACTACTTGTCTTTCAATGGAAGTGTATTCCAAAGATCCCTAGTATTGTGGTAAGTTAACAGGTATGATTTCTGTCCCCCTCCATAAAGTTCCTTTATCAAATTAAACTTAGTAAAAATAATTGTGATTAAGGAATATTAGAAGGATTTTTTACTACAATAGTAAACACTAACATTGATTGTGTGCTTACGTTGTGTCACTCAGTGTGCTAAGCATTTTTAATCCTCTGAACCAGAAAAAATATTTAGAGGGACACACACTTCAGAAGTTTTTCTTCATGTTGCTAGACTCCTTATAAGCATCTCTGCAAAAGCTTCTGTTAACAATGTAAAATGAGACAAATAACATTTTTGTTGTTACAACCCTACAGCTTTGGGAAAGTAAGCTTATGAAATGAATTCTTAAAATTAAATACTGAATATAATAGTATGTTTCCATACTCTTCTAACCATAGTATTCACAGATGATAGACGATAACTATTAAACTCTTAATCAATGGGGAATAATCTTTAGAGCTTTAGAGACATTTCTGGGTTTGAACACTGACTTCATTTACTGTACTCAAAGCTGTGGCATACAGCCTTTGGTGAGCTATTAAGGTTTTGAGCTTTAGTTTATTTGCAAGATTAGTATAGTGATGTATTTCTCACTTAGCTTTGACTATTAAATGATAGAGTACAAATGAAATTCTAACATGTGAACATTCACTAAACTCTGTTTCCTTTTCTTTCTCTGCTTCTGTTATTAGGAAACATCCTTTTAGAGTCTTTTTGAAATTATGCACAATATTTTAACTTTTTTTCTTTAAAAAAATTATCCATTACTCCTAAAATTATTTTAAAACTTCCCTGAAATTCTGCAGATGAGGACCTGATTTACTTCATCTTTTTGCTTTCCTCCACATTGCTAATACAGTGGGCATCTAGAACTTTATGAAAGTTTTGAAGAAATGGTCATACTTATTTTTTAATGTAAATATTCTACTTAAAACTTAGTGCTTTTCATGATCCCTATTAAGCAAAATAATATGTAAATAGGTTTTTTCCCTTTTTCTTAGTTTTCCAACATTAAATAGCCAGTATTACAAAAAATGAAGAGCCCGCACTCCAGAGCCAGACTGTCTGGATTTATTTATTTTTATAATATGGTTATGTTTTTTTTAATTAATTTTACTGCGGCTGACAGTGGTTAGTAAGATTAGATAGGTTTCAAGTGTAAAATCCTTTGATGTGGACTCTGGATTTAAATTTCTACTCTCACTAGCTGTGTGGCTTTCTGTGCTTTAATTCGTTCATTAGTGAAATGGGTATAACAATTGAACTCACCTTAGGTTATTAAATAAATAAATAAATAAATAAATAAATAAATAAATAAATGTATGTATCTTTTAAAAATGCCTGCAACATACCAAATGCCATAAAAGCTGTTACCTGTTATAGTATTATATGTATTATCTATATATTAGTTCTAAAATAAAAAATATAGTGTTTAATATATTTTGTAAGTATCTAACTTGGTAATTTTTAATTTGGAAAAATACAAATTTAGGGTTTTTTTTTTAAGATTTTTTAAAATTTTATTTATCTTTAGAGGGGAAGGGAAGGAGAGAGGGAGAGAAACATCAATGTATGGTTGCCTCTAGTGGGTCCCCTGCTGGGAACTGCCCTGCAACCCCCGCATGTGCCCTGATGGAGAATCGAACCACGATCTTTTGGTTTGCAGGCCCACGCTCAATCCACTGAGCTACACCAGCCAGGCAAATTTAGTTTAATTTATAGTTTCTTGAAAAATATGTCAGACTGTTATGTAGCATTTTATATTTGCTAACTTCTTTATTTTTTTTTATACTTCTTAATCTTACTGTTCAGAAATAGCAGGGAAAACATTTCTATTTCCCCATAAAGAAATTGAGACATACAGAAAGTTCAGGACCTTTTAAAGCAAGACAGTAGAAAAGTCGGTGGAAAGACTAAAATTGAATTTGAAATATTTCATATGCCAGTATATTGAGCCAAGCTATCTCAAATTCTTATTAAGTATTCAAACAACAAACTTATCAGTTGGCAAAATAAATGTTAACTTTCATTGGCTGTGTCCTTTAGATGTATCCTTTTAGCTCCAGTTGATTCATTGAAAGATTATATGAAAAAATTTGTTTTAAATAGGATTAGACTAATTAAAGTATTGGCCTACTATCCCTTAGGACATTTTAGGGTTGAGTATGTGGTTTTTAGTTGTCAACTGGCTTCTCTCCACATTTGATGAACTAGATCAAAAACTCCTTCTCTATATTTCATGTAATCAGTATTACATAGAATATGGGTTCATTTTATATGTAATAGGTAAATATGGGTGAATAAAATAGGTGAACAGGTGAGTATGGGTAATTTTCAGAGTCACCCTAGAAGCTTAACCGTCATTCTTAATACTTGGTTTCAGTGGAAAGTGATTACATATTTCAAAGAATAAAATATTATACAGTGAACTTTTGGAAAGTGTATGATTCTAAAAATGGTATCTGTATTTTTATAAAGACAGAGGAAATTTTTAAAAGATGTTTATTTTTGTTACAGATATTGCATAGTATCTATAATTCATTAATTTTAGAATATGGTAAATAATTTGGTTGGGATCTGGAAAATAAATGATGTTGACTAAAAGACTCAGAATCATTTCTGTAAGAAATTGTAAATGGTTTCTTAAATAATTGATAAGAGAATGTCTAATTTCTAATTTGCAATTGTTCATAGCTGCTTAGGAAGTAGGATTATTATGTAAAATAATTTTTCTGAATTTTTGTTTTAAAAATAAAAGAGCTTAAAAATTTAGTATTCCAGTCTAAAAATTTATAAACATTTATTGGGATTTTCCCATAAATGCCATTTTTATTTTATAAAACTAAAAGCTAATTCTGTATGTGTTTAAAATAGCAAGCTTTTGACTCAAAGACACAATACTCTTGGTATTTTCCACATGAAATAATGTTTAAATTTTGTAAACAAGCTCTACAAAGTGTTTCTACCCCACTTCTGTTTCTCTCCCTTTTTTTTTATTTGTTCTTTTCATATATTCATTGTGCTGATTAGAGGCATAGATTCAGGGAACCTAATCACCTAATAACCCAGTTTGAAACTTAAATTATTTTGTAAATCCTGATGTGATTAAACCATTTTAAATTTTTCTCAAAAATATCAAGTTACATTTAAATAGTATTTTTTAAAGCTATAGCTTATGAAAAATTATTCTCTTTAATGTCCAATGTTGTCGACATTTGAAACTATTATTAAGGTTGTAACATTATCAATTACAAAGCACTCTTCAACTGCTAAGATACATCAAATCCCAACTCAAGGGAATACTAATATTTTTATAAGCAGAAATTTTTTCCAAAGAGGAAAAAATATATATCGTGTAGATGTATTCATATTACATATGCATTTAGGTAAAAAGAATCCTAAGACTCAAGAAGCAGTCTCAGGTTTTTCCTAGTGGTATAGAGAAGCATAAGTACTTATTAGTTCACTTATTTGTTCTACAAATAGTAACTCTTTGCTATGAGCCAGATATTCAGCAATAATTAAGAGGGGCAGGGAACATGGAGCTTTAAGAGTGGCGGACATTACAAAGAATAAACAGTTTTTTCTGGGACTTAGAGAATAGAGATATAAGTCCAGTTGTAAGTCAGATATTTCTAGGTGATAATAGTAAAGTCATATAATTTTCAGCCTTTCAGTTTTATTGATGAGGGACTAGAGACCCAGAAAAGGTAAATTGTTTATCCAAGGTCATATAGCAAGTTATATTGAGGACCCAGGTCCCCTGCCTCCTCGACTTACCATTTGATACTTGCTTAAAGCAGGAAGCTGAAAGAAAAGAAAGTAAGGCAAGGTCCCTAGACAGTTGGACTAGCCACTTTGGATTTGAATTACAGTAGTTAATAAAATATGAAAAATTATACTTTGGAAATTTATTTGTTTATGATTGTTTAACTTTATTTGAATTTCTTTAAACTTTTCTTTGATTCTCCTTTATCAGTTATTAAATAGTCTTTTAGGGTTTTGCCAAATCCATATTTGCACACAAAGAATTTTAAGTTAGTTCCATGCCATTGGAAGTCAGGTACATTGGTGCCATGTTTTTGAAGCTCTTATGTACTATAACTTTTCAGTACTGTTTTTTTCCTCAGTAAAGAAAGTTGTTTCATTTAATTATCTTGACTAAGCTACAGTGTATTTGTTGCAGGAAAGAAAGAAAAACAGGATGATGGAACATTAAAAGACAATTTCCTGGATTGTTTTGATCTAACATGGGTTTGAAATCCTGTTGCTGTAGTTAATCCTTTATATAACCAATAAAAGACCATTATAAATTATAAAGGATATTCAGATCACGTATGAGGTTTTGAATAAACTGATAGACATACAGATCTGTAGGAAAGTTACATGATGCTATGTTGGTTTCCACTATTTTTATAATTGATATACGGTGTTACTGTTTAAATTCCTTCAGGGTAACTGGAAATTTGAATTTTTATTTTTTTAAAGAGTGTTAAGTAGTAAAACTAGATATATATCCTAGTAACTTAGTTTTACTCAGGGGCAGTGAAGCACATAAGTGAATAAACTGAAACTAGAGTCTGTAAAGCTAGTCATAGTAACATTAGAAAACATCCGATGTACAATGCATATGGCAAAGGAAAAAGATGTTATAACGGAATACAAAGAAAAATAAATGGCTGGGAGTTGAAAACACCTATTCTGCCTTATGACCATAGATCTGTCTTCTCAGAAATAGTGATACTATATCTTTTTTCCAGATACGATATGAACATATTTTAATTTATAAGAGCTTTCTTATAACTGAAACTTTAATCATAAACTTAATTAAAAAGTATTTTGCACATAGAAACTCCATTTGCATCTAAGTTAATATATTTTGTTGAGTTACTAGTGAATAATCTTTAATTTTATTATCTTTGAAATTAGTTTATAGAGTCTACATGAAAATAATATATAAGTAAGGAATTTTATATGTAAAAATGGTATTATTCTATAAGTATCAATTAAGCACGAGAATACTGGCCTGTCGGTTACATTTCAAAATACTGATACTAGTTTGAGCAGAGGCTATTGTTCTTCATTTAGCAAAAGGGAATCCAGTGGTCTCTAATACTGACTGTTGTCCAGTTTGGATAAATTCATGCCCATTATGCCTGAACATACAGCATATGGACAGAGTTCAGTATCCAGCCCTAAGAGCCTCTATATCTATCGCATATGATAATTGCTACAAATGACAAATGTAGCGATACTATTTTATTTGTTCAAACTGCAGTATTAGTTTTGATAACATACAATTTATTCTTTAACATATATATATCCATTAATTTATTAATTGCTTACCCCACCCTGAACAATTTTACATGTTAAAGCATTACTTTGTGTTTTTGCAAAACATTTCTTTCTCCTAGGTCTAAGATGTGGTTCTAGTGAATCCATATTTAAATCTGAGATTTTGAGTCTAAGGCTTCCTGTATTGATATGTTTTATAAAGTTTTTTTTTATCGTCACCTGAGGATCTGTTTACTGATTTTTAGAATGAGACGAAGAGGGAGAGAGACAGAGGAACATTGATCAGTCACCACCCATATGCATGCCCAGACTGGGATCTAATCCACAGCCTCAGGTATGTGCCTTGACAGGGGATTGAACCTGCAACCTTATGGTGTATAGGACAGCATTCCTACCAACTGAGCCACCCCGCCTGGATCCTTATATTGATATTTTTAAAAGTTCCTCGGTGCCCTGATCAGTGCAGCTGAGTGAGTTGGGCATTGTCCTGCATCAGGGAAAGTCGCAGGTTCGATTCCCAGTCAAAGCACATGCCCGGGTTGCAGGCAGGTCCCCAGCGGGGGCAGATGAGAGGCATTCTCCTTCTCTTTTACCTCCCTTTCTGTCTCTCTAAAAATAAATAAATGAAATCTTTTTAAAAAGAAAAAGTTCCTCAGATGATGCTAAAGGTCAGCCAGTATTGAGGATTAATGTTCTAGGTCTAAGATCTACTGTGTAAAAATTTGAGGGTGCTGGAGGACTGATGTCACTGCAAAATGTGGACTCTGACTTCTTTGGGGAGAGACACTAGAGTGTGATGAGAAATTCCTGTGAGTTTGCCTTCTGGATCCTCAGTTCTAGTTGCTAAGACTAGAGCAAGTAGCTGAGAGCCCTCATCGTCGCTCAGCCCAGGGGAGAATTAGAAGGGCCTTCTGACTGACCAGGGGAAATCGAAGTGAGCTTAGAAGTTTCAGGAAAGTAATATTAAAAATAGCAGGTTATATAGCCATTCTCACCCTGAAATGCTTTGAAAGGGCCTCCAGAAGAGCTCCTACTCTGCCATCATGGTAGTCTTCCTTAGGGACAGAGATGAGAACCGGCTGTTAACAAATTCCTGTTTAACAGCTCGCCCCCTGTCCCAGCATGCACGTACAACCTGTGCACATCATACCCACTGCCACCCTGCTATTCTTGAAAGGTTATACACGTTTTGATGCAAAAATCGATTTGTGGGGCAAAAGATTTTGCCTTGTCTCCACTGCTTTTCTTTTTGTTTCTTTCTACCTATCTTCTTCCCAAAAGAATAAACAAAAAACTTAATACCTATTGGCTTACATGTGAACTTTCTTAAGAAAATGTCACTTTCTCCTTAGTTAGAGTTTAAGAACTAACATGCAAATGTACACATTGAAATCTCACAGGGTAGTGCAGTCTTTTACCTAGTTAAATGTGTGTTTATCCTTTCCCGTATTTCACGGTGAGTGAGAGTAACAAGGATAAAAGTGAGCCATAGCTCACTTCCTGGTTTGCTGGTTACCTTTTATTGTGAACAGATAAGTAAAAAATATGTACAGAAGTACTGTTAGCCTGCTAAACCTCTGGTGAGCAGTGTAGTTGAAGACAAGTGATTAGCAGATAGTATTCTTATTTTAAAAAGATGTCAAATTTTTATAAGAATTTATGTGGGTAAAAATAGTAAACACTACTATGATAGATGTTATTAGGTGGATGTTACTGTGGTTCAGAAAGCACCCTTTTCTTTCTTTTCTACATAATAGTGATTAGAGTGACTAATAAACTGGTGAACAAGACTGCTGCATTAAAAGTTCAGTGGTTGTATGTCTCTACCCTTTCTTGAAAGTTTTTTCCTACCATTTGTTTTCAGTGCGTATGTAACATTTTAAAGTTACGTTTTCCTTTACATGATTGATGAGAAGTATATACTTTCACGAGGAAGAAAGGGGTTTAAGACTTAAGAGATAAAACATTTCTCATAGAAATGTTCCCTATGAGTAAGCTATAGGGAACTTCAGGTGAAAGGCCAAGAGCCGTTTTTTTTTAAATGTTCTTGGATACCTAAAGATATTTAGACCAGCCTTTCAGACACAAGGACAATTTTTAAAATTTTTACACTATCAAGGGCAGTTACACTATTTATAAAAATTGGCTGTACAGTTCCCCTAAAATCTACATTAAATCAAGAGTGAAATACAATTTATTGTAACATTTGGGGAGAAAAAGGAATAAGTACAAAAAAGGCTACAAGTAGAGTAAATAAAAAAAGTTGCAGATCTCAAAATCTCTTGGAAAGAAAACAGTGAAGTTGATAAAGTTTCCAAACTAGCATTTGGTAGTTTTATAAAAACTGCAAGGTGACTGCTTCTAAAGCTTTAAAAAAAAAAAAAAAAGAAAGAAAGAAAGGAAAAGGAGACCAGGGTAGTAGTGCTAAAAGAAATCCTATAAGGCATAGGAATCCGTTCATGGTCAGGAATTCTTTTACTGGGGCTTCAGGGTTTCTGAAGGTGGTGTGACTTTTAATATACCATCTTTTGGGTCTTGGCTTCCGTTAAGAACCTGGTAAAATCACTGGACTCTGGAGGGAGTATGTCTATGAAGAATTCCATATGACCTTGTTTACATATCAAGGGATACATGAACCATGTGAAGGCTAATAATTAACCCCTAGACCACCAGCATCAGAATCACCTGAGGTGCCTGTTAAAATGCAGATGCTGGACTCTGTATACCTCAAACCTCCATATTAGAATATCTAGTGAACTGAGTTTTGGAATTTGCATTTTAACAAGCATTTCCACATGATTCTTCTGTTTACTACGGAAGTTTGAGAATCACTGCTCTAGAACATTATGTATTATACCAGTTTTACCCTGGCCTAGAAACAAGATTTTTAGTGATACTTAACCATATGTTGGTTATCTATTAAATAATCATTTAGAGGCTATTAATATTAATAAGCACCAGGATCATAAAGAAATGTAGTTATTTTTACTGCATTGAGCATCATTTTACTGAAAAGAAATGTTATGAAAAATAAACATTTTAGATCCTGGGTGTTTGGGTATATATGACATACAAATTAGGACAAATTCAACATATTTCTAGTCTTAGTAAAGTATATTTATTTGCTCTAAAAATATATCTACAGTTACTCAAGTGTTTAATGGATATTATACTGGTATTTCCGATGATAGCTAGTTGAAAGTACTGCAAACTCAAAATAACTGAAATTGGATTCAGTGTGAATTTTGGAAAAGCATGACTTATGGAATTGTTTTAAAATATATGCAGTTTTACTTCAAATGAGATATGCATTGCCTTTAAGAAGAGTAGTGTCTATATCTGAATGAATCAGCCTTATTTATAATTTACATATTAAGTGGTGGTATGTAAATCAATGTTGCTAAAACAGTTTAAAGACTGCTTGAAAACAGTATATAAAATCTGACCAAACAATTCCTTCTGAATATGGTTATGATCTTAATTTACTTTTGCTGGTTTCCTTCATAGATAAATTCAGGATTGAACTTTAGACTAAAAGGTCATGCCATTATCTCATTTCAAATTATTGAATCTGAATTAATAGCTAGTATGCCCATGTAGCTGAACTGTTTAGTATTAGTGCGTGTACACATTTGTACCATGGCACTAGAAGACAGGTTATAAGTCAGTACTCTTAGGACTTTGTTTAAACGCAGAAGAAAAACTTACCTCAGCAAGAATTGTACCATATACATTCGCTCCTTGCTATATCGTGGTTCACTCATTGTGGCTTCACTGTATGGCAATGAGTGAACCACGATATAGCAAGGGATGACTGTATACTTCACCTGTGAGTACCCATACCCATACAGAATTTTATATGTTGCTAAAATTACAGATGTTTAAGAGTGTAAAAAGTGTTTAAGAGCACATGAAGTGTTTTTATGTGTGGGAAAGGTTAATAGAGAGGGAAAGGTTTATAGGAGTGTGGGAAGGGTTTATAAAGCCTTAAAAATATATAAATAATGAATATAACACTGCTACTTCACGGGTTTTCACCTATCACGGGGGAGGGGGGGCAGTCTGCAGAACGTAACTCCCGCGATAAGTGAGGGATCACTGTGTTTTAATCAACTTTCTCATCAGACATATTGTTGGGAGTTAAGGGAGACCAGGTAAAATAATTAAATTGCTCAGGAAATAACCTTTTTTTGCTAAGAGGAAAAAATACTTGTAAGGTGATAAGTTGGTAAGTCAGAAATACCATTTTTGTATGGGGAAAATACTTGTGGTATTGTTATATTACTTACTAAAATAAAAGGACCTGTCAATATCTACTTTCCTAAAAGCAAATTCAGTAAATGTTATTATGTAAAATCTGTTTTTTCCTAAGGTTCTTATTTCTGGAAAATACATGAAAATACCCTATAAAATGTTTTTATGTATCCTGTGGTAAGCCACATTTGCAAAAAACAAGTTTAGATAATTATTTCTACAAAGGTTTAAGTTTAGTTGGTGATTTTCTGTTTTATTTTTGACTAAAAATTTTTTTTCTGCTAGAACATACCACTTTTTATGATATTTTTTCAGTATATTGCATTTAATTTCTTGGTTCTCTTTGACTTCCTCCTTGTGTCCCTCAAGGTCATACAAATGTATGTAAACACATACACCTATAAACTGTTTTTAATGGATTGTAATGGATATAATTGCAGCTAACTTTTTGATTAGCATACTAACTGGTACATAATAAATACATACTTTATTTTCATCGTGTCATTTAATCTACACAGTCACCTTCAAAGTAAGTACATATTTTATCCCCATTTTATAGATGGGAATACGTATTAAAGTGAACTAACTCAACCAAGGTCACCTGAGTAGTAAAACTTAAGCTAGGTTTAACATCAATACATGACTTCTTAACCACTATGCTTTACTAATTTTGATGACTTTAAATTATAATTCTAAAGTCTTTATATTAAAAAATATCTTTTAAAAAATCAGTGTATGGTAGATTTCTCTCTCCACTCATTGAGAACTCACGAAGATACTAACTTGCCTGCTTTTTAAATGCCAGGCATAATTGTAGACACTCATATATATTGTATTTAATCCTTGTTTGTAAGATAGGCTTTGTTTTCCTTTTGTACAGATTTAAACTAAGGGTCTGCTTTGTAACTTGCTTAACGTCATACATTATGTGGCAGAGTCAGTATCTGACACTGTAGTACTCTGCTGAATAAAAAATACTGAACTTGGGCTGGATCATTTTCTCAAGTAGTCTGGAAACTAATTATTCTAGGATAAAAAGCAAATGAACAAAAATAGAGGGGAAAATAGTCTCTAGATGCT